AAGATAAAAGAAATTCTGCTAAAGAATTTAAAAATACCAGCAGAATTTAAACAGAATTCTGGTATCATAAGCAGAATACAAACTTTCAATAAGCATACCAGAGGCTACACATCGATCAGGAAAAAATTTCTAGTAAAGAATTAAAAAAATCCTAGCAGAATGTAAAACAGAATTCTAATATCGGTAAAAAATAGATCAATTCACTAAGATAAATTCCCAATAGCAAATAAACTACTAAGTACCACACTAACCTGTCAGAAAGTATTCTACAGAATTCTGTCTACAATAGAAATAGACCAGAATGGAATATATAGTGTTTGATAACATAAAAATGTATAAAATTCTGTAGAACTCTAAGCAAAATTTAAATGGATCAGAATGGAATATGTTGTCTTCAATGACACAGTTCTACAGAATTCTAAGCAGAATGCTATTACCACGAAAGAATATAAACTTTGAATAGCCATACTATAATGTTATATGTCCAAGGGAAAAATAAAATTTTGATGAAGATTTTAAGAACATCGGCAGAATTTTAAAACAGAATTCTGTTATCACTTACAGAATATCAATTTTCAATAGCTATACTTGAATTCAATGGCATATCTGCAATAGAAAAAAAAATCCTTCTGAAGAATTTTAAAATATTAGGAGAATTTGAAACAGAATGCTGTTATAACTATCGGCATATAAGCTTTCAATAGGTATACTAAAATGGTATATCTCCAGTAGAAGAGAAAAACTCTTATGAAGCATTTAAAAATATCAGAAGAATTTAAAGCAGAGCTGTGGTACCACTCAGACAATATAATCTTTCAATAGACATACTAGAATGGTATAGCTCGTAGAGAGAGGGAAAATTCTAATGAAGAATTTAAAAACATAAGGAAAATATAAAACACAATTCTGATACGAGTAACAGAATATAAACTTGCAGTATGAATACTAGAATTCTACATCTCCTAGTGAGGAAAGAACATTGTTTTTCATAGCACAGAGTTCTACAGAATTCTCAGCAGAATTTAAACAGACTGGAACGAAAGACGTCATCTCTGATAATACAGAATTCTACGAAATTCTAAACAGAATTCAAACAGACAAGAAATGAATATGCTGTCTTTAGTGACACATAATTCTACAGAATTCTGTTTTTGATAATACAGAATTCTCAGCAGAATTTAAACAGACAAAAACGGGAGACATCATCTCTGATGATACAGAATTCTACAAAATTCTAGGCAGAAGTCAAACAAACAAGACATGAATAGACTGTCTTTGGTGGTACATTATTCTACAGAATTCTAC